GCCAAAAATCTTGAATGTGCAAGCGATTCGTGCTCGAGAAGTGTTTTTCTTCTGCAAATTCTTTCAACTTTCCATATCATCTCAGATTTCTTCATAATTATATAACTTTTATTGCTTGAATTTTTTGTTTTCCTTTCAAAATGCAAATTACTCTTTAGTAGCTTGGAGAAAAAAAGGTGCTCACACCCTGATTCCAAACAATGACCTTCAAACTGACTTCTAATTACCCATTGACTGAAACCTTACCACTCTGCCATAATGAATTATTCATGAAGAAAAACAAATTTGTCACAGTTACATTGAGGCCGCTGACTGATTGATGATTACTGTGAGCTTAAATTATTTGCACAGTCCTGAGCTAAAGTGTCTATAAAGTGAGCGGCTTTGGTTTCAAATGGTTGTTGTTTTCTGTGGGAAATCACTCAATACAGTATATGCTGACCTGTTTTGCCGGCCATGTTATCTATTCATGGATATTTTGTATGCTGGATGGATTTTTCTTTCTCACCCTCCACTGAAGTCAGGAGATCACTTGGTTTGTACTTGTGCTTGTAAAAGTCATCTGACAAAGTGCATGGTTTGCTGGTTCTCGTGCGAGTTATTTCTATCCTCTGATTCAAGGATTTTTTTAGTGTAATGAAGGAACGAAGATGTTTGTAATAAGTCAAGTGCTAAAGACAGCCTGCAGCAAATGAATATCAGAATAGCCCTCAACTCAATAATAACATGTATAACATTTCAAGTATCACAAAGTTGGCTAAAAAGCCTTTTTGATTTTGATTTAGTTGGCAGAGGACTTACCTGAGCCCTTGCCCATCAGGCAAGTGAGAATAAAAATAACTTGCCCGCCAGGAATATCTACATTTGTGGACAAAAGTCCTTGGGACACTTATATAATCTAACCAAGAGATCATCAAGGTAAGAGAGTGAATCCCCCATATAGGCCTTATATCCAAGGTAATCCCTCTTAAGTAATTTTTAGACATTGCACCCAGTTCTTCCAGGGATATTACTCGCACGTTGCATGGATGTTTTTGTGGAGGATCTGTTTATGTCTTTTTGTTTCGTTTCAAAGCAATAGAAAACCTCCAATGCTGTGGGGATGTCTTCTTTGATATTTGGATTACAAGCAAGGGAGTTTTGGCTCTTGGTATGTCTTAATACATTTTGAAACTTAAATAGGAGTTTAATAAGAGACGGATGTTCCTGCACAAACAATAACAACTGAATGAACGGCAGAGAAATGTTTAGACAAACAAGTGCAAAGCAAACAAACTCCCAAACACAAGCTGTGCAACCAAACAAACAGATGGTCGAAAGTGCAGGCAGATGCTTGCTGCCCAAGTAGAATCAAAAAAAGCAGTTTAAGCAGCAACGGCAACAATGCCATAGACAATGTCGATTTAAAAACGACTTAATAGTCAACCTACGAATCTTGCAAGGATTTAGATTCATTCAATTTGTCTATACTGTCAGAAATATCCCAAAGATGATACATAAGACAGCATCAAAATTCAAAAAAAGAAATTTTAATAATTAGCCGTCATATAGTTCACGTTCTCTCGAATATGCAGAATGTGGCTATTTCACGATGTTGTTTTTTTGTGACCTTTTGTAAACAACTACAAAGAAATGAACAAAAAATTACAATGCACACCTACACAGCTATTGTACTCGTTGCCATTGCCATTACCATGAAGTTTGCTTTATTAAAGTCCCTAAAACCGAATAAACCGCCAAATAATGAACAGCAAAACGAGCACAAAACAAACGAAAGCCCAGCCGGACAAAAAGATGGCTGAGAGCACAGAAAACATCTCTGCTATGAAACAAAATCAAAACATGTACAATGATGTTCCTGTCATTTCGTCTCGGGAGTTTCGAGAAAGTCGCTTTGGCTGTCCATGCATCATGTGAGTAACATCCTCGCAAGAACTGGGTACCATGTCTAAAAATAACTTAGAGGGATTACCTTGGGTAGAAGGCCTATATAAAGGATTCACTCTCTTACCTTGATAATCTCTTGAATTTAATGAATTACCTGTGTTTTACTACTGACGTTTGAAAAAAGTGCTGCTTCCCTTTTAAAAACACGTTACTGTTCTCCCTCTCCATCCAATACAATGTTGAAAATCAGAAGAAATTGCAGACAGTAGTTTTCAACATTGTATGGGGGGTGGGGGGNTCGGGTGAACTAGCTTTCATGTATGGCGTGTGTACAAGAGCACCAAAAGTGCAAATTTGTCCGAAGACTTTTGTCCATTATTGTCTCAATTTCAGCTGAGAAATAAAATGTCACTTTTCAGTGGTTTTTCACATTCTAAATGTGTTTTTTCTCGACTCTGTGAAAAGATCGTGATACAATGAGTATTTTTGAGCTATTTCGTGGTTAACTAACGCTTTGTTTTTCCTTTTTAATTTTGCCCCAAGCAAGGTGTAAATTGGAATTTGTTTATCGCAGACTTGCGTGTGCACTATTTGAAAGGACAAACATGTTTAACACTGAAGGCGACAACAGGCATCATAGATCATGGTGCATATGACAGGAATGAATATGTGATACATGCAGTGAGCGGGCATTGCAAACTACAATTTTGTCCCAAGGGTACCAAACCAAATATCTGAAAGCTGTTTCCAGCCACTGGAAGTCATTTCCCTTTATTTGTGTACGAAATAATATTGTGTGACATTTTTTAATGTTATGCACAATGAGTTGGTCACTTTTTATTTGCATAACTCAACAGTTTTAGCAACAGTACTCACTTTAAAACCTTAAAATCTGCCTACTTATTTCCAAAAGCTCACATTTGAGACATGTGTAACTGAACTGTATTTGGGAATCAATCTTTCTACACATTTATTGCCAGGAAAATTTAATTTTGAGCTCTGCAAACATGGTACTCACTTTTCATTGTTAAGAATTGTTTTAAAGTCAACTCTTCCACACTGAATCAAGTGATTACTGTTGCATTCACTGCCATCATGCTGTGACGTGACTTTTGTGAAATAATTTCGTAAAAGTACCATATCTGCTGGTTTTCTTAGTTGATACTTTGAGGAAATTGAATTAACACTGTCTTTCTTCGCCGCTGAGTACTATGCGATGACCAGTGAACGTTGATGTCACTACCCAAAGAGTATAGCACCTCAGTTCTTCGTACACACTGTTACGTGCTGTAATAACTGTTAAGGTGATCACTAAGATTGACTTAAATACCAAATTTGCCGTATAAATACTTGAAGTATCTCTACACCTGTGCATTACAGTGTAAACAATTATTTGTTACATATCCAAATCAAGCGACGCCATTATCACTGCCATCACATACAAAAGTTTCTATATTATTTGAGATCAACACCTTTCCAGGTGGGTCCAAAACCATTGAAAAATACAGAAAAGCTGTGTTAAAGCTCATAGAAATGCCTTTCTAATCTCAGATGTTCACATTCTCAGGTCCTAAATGCACTTAGGGCTAAACAACATCCTAATTGTGCATTTTTCCATGAGATGTGAAAATCAGACAATCGTGGACAAAAGTCCTTGGGACACTTGTGTAATTTAAGAGTTATATGTGTTTTATTAATGGAGTTTGAAAAAAGTGCGGCTTTCCTTTTAAAAATGTGTCACTGTCCCCCATCCCCACCCAATATAATGTTAAAAATCAGAAGAAATTGCAGGTAGTTGTTTTCAACATTGTATGGGGGGTGGGGGGCAAGGTTAGGCAGGTGAAGTAGTATTCACGTCTGGCGTGTGCGCAAAAGCAACAAAAGTGCAAATTTGTCCCAAGACTTTTGTCCGTGATTGTACCTGTCATGAACATCCAAATGGCACTTTTTTGAGTCTCGTTAAAACCAAGAAACAGAAAACATCTTTTGATACTACTGGATGTTAGTCTCAAGTTATTATTTTTTTATACAGCTTTGATACCACTTATAAGCCCCACTCCTTGTTTATAAGCCAAAGTGCTCAAAACCTTTTTACTAAGTGTTATAAGCCCAGAGTCTACAACCAGAATTTTACAGTTTTTGGAAAGTTAGAACTGGAAAAAATTTCTCATGAAAAATTGCTTTAAAAAATTTAATTCATTGTTTTTGCTTTGGGATTAGTTTTCTGCATATACATCTAAAATATGCATTAAGCCCTTGAAAATCTGGACCTTTGGTTCATATTTACTGGCAAATATGTAATTATTAGCTACGGGTTGTATTATTTCTAAGTAATCATTAATTCTAAGTAACAAGCAAATACATGTATCCTTTTGCTCTTCAGAAATATTTATTCTGTTCATTTTTCCATAATATTTTGTCATAGTATATGCAATACAGCTAGTTGTGAATCAAGTGAGAAACACTTGTGTGACCTGCATGACATTCAAGGCTTAAAGTGGTTCAAGACTTGCTGAAAACACAAGCAGATAAGCTGCACTCACAGTAAAGTCAGTCCCTAATTTTGGCAATGCAAATTTTTGAAAGCCATTTTTTAAGGAAATCAAAACAAATCAAAAGTGGAGTCATGAGAATGATGCCTTACTTGTACTCTAGTTCATTCATGGATTGTAAACCTGCATAAGCTCACCAACATTGAAAACAGAGAATACTTCAAACTGAAACCCTTACATATAATTTTATCTCGCCTTGTAATAGAATGGATATGATGCTTACTGACTTAGATATATGTTTGAACTTTCTCTGGTATTTATCAAACAGCATTTTGATGAAAAGGGTTAATTTATGCAAATTTATGGCATGTTGTCCAGATGTTCTCACAGATACGCGGCATCCCTGATTTGTTATGACAACTTTGAGGGTAAAGGTGTGGCTTATCCGCTGATGCTTACGGTAGTTCTGATCTTCTTTAAGCTTCTTGTTTTAGTTGCTTGTATTTAACTCCACTAAATCAGCAGTTTTTCCATGCAGTATCTTTAATATATGCAATGAATATTCCCGACACACTCATGATTAAAATAAACTAACTTAAATATTCTATTTCATGTTGTCAGGTTTGTGGCCACTCCATTTGTAGAAAGTAATGTACAGGCAGTGAAAGTGAAACAAATGCAGGATGAACTGAAAGAAATGGAGACTAAAGCTGTAGATTTAAACACCTCAAAAGGTAGTCCAGTGGAGAGGGGAGCCCTTCACTTCACCATTTATTTAGAGTTCTTGAATGGTAACATGTTATTCTAAGGGGTAATTCAAATTTGAATTCTCAACTATCGCATTCTGGATACATGGGTTATTTCATTTTTAAACTCATGAATGTCTACTAGTTTATAGTGGTTAATACAGATCACTTATTCATTCGATCATGGGCAGATTTCCGGCTTTTGTTTCAAGCCTGTCTGCAGGTTAACTGCAAATGGTTATGGTTCAAAATTCCTTGAAACTGCTTTACATCACTGGATGTTCCTCCTCCAGTGCTTTGAGTACTCCTCTTTTATTACTTTTGATGACCTCCCGTCACCATTGAAATCATATTGCTGTTTGAAGTATTGCGTTTAACAAGCTCAGCAATCACGCATGAGTGAGGGGTTATACAAACACTTCTAGCAGACAAATAGAACTGACATCAACATGCATGGCATAGTGAACTCGCACATTCTTGATGGGAAAAGCCCTACGCCTGAACTTGTTCATTAGCAATCATTTCTACATGATGAACTCTACGCTCTATGGCTCCACAGCTGTACGGCTCTGTGGCTCTAGGGTGCTACGGCTCTACGATCACACATAACTAGATAATGAACTCTACAGCTCTGTGGCTCTATGGTGCTACGGCTCTACGATCACACATAGTTAGATAATGAACTCTACGGCTCTATGGCTCTACGGCTCCACCGCTCCATGGCTCCATGACTGTATGGTTCTATGGCTCTACGGCTCTATGGTTCTACAATCATGTATATCCCTAGATAATGAACTCTAGGGCTCTATGGTTCTACCATCAGACTTTTCTACACTACTAAAAGTTTGTAAATCATGAGCCTAACAGCTTGTGATTTACACGCTTTTCTTGTGTTCCCCCAACATCCTGCATGGGTTATTACCCCTATAAAGTATTGTGCAAAAGTAATGAGAGTGAAATGCGCGAATTTCCTTCTTTGTCTCCTTGAACTTTCTTCGAGAGTTCGCCCGAAAATTCAAGCGTCTTTTTGCAATGTCTTGAGCGTTATTTCTTTAAAACAAAGGACGGAAATTCGCGGCATTTTCAAGACCAGAACGACAATTCCTTACCAGAGGGATAATTCCGCTTGCAGTATGTGAAACATCGCAGTGCAGTGCCCTGACCAGTATCGAGCCATCAATGTATCGTTCTCTTGTGAACAATTGTGGTCACGTTGATGCTCTACTCCTCTATAAAATTCGCTGTTGTTAATGTATTAATCCATCTTTCATGGCAAAGAACGTAGAGAATTTGAATCGTTTGATTGTTTTCAATTACACAAACTCGCTAACTTAAGCTTTGCCATGTCACTGTGCCAGCAAGGCAGGTACAAAAGTTGGACTGCTAGTCCAGGTAAACTTGGACGAAAGTAAAATAATATTCTTAATAAGGTCTTTTTGAAGGCCTACTTCACCTCAAAATTTACCCAAAGTGACATCAAATTCAGTGATCAATGGACAAGCAGACATGTTGTTTATCTAGTGCCAGGTCTCCACATGCCCAGTCCCCTCAGCTGTTATCACGTTTGCCACATTCTTGTCTGCCTGCCATGATGGAAAGTATATTATTTGTGACAATCCCTCTTTATTTCACACTCGTAAATAAGAGATGGAGACATGTGACCGCGCTTGAGCATGTTGGAAGTGCAAAGAAATGGGATTAGGGAAGGAAAAGTGCAGAGACGTTCGGATGGCAAGTGCAAAAGGGAAAGACATGGCTGCCACAAGCCAAAGGATTCTTACGCGAACTGGGCCAAAATGAGATGCTCTTATTTCAGCTTATACAGTAAACACCCGCGTATAAGAACCTAGTGATTTAAGAACCTACAGGCTGAAATTGGGCATTTTAANGCAAGGGGTTACCTGAAACAAATATATAGCTTTGCGATGTTCAAAGCTAAGTGACGGCGATGGAGTGTGTTTTATGTAGAGTACACATGTACCTTTCCCACCCTACCCCCACTACTTCTTTGCCTCTAGACTAATTAATTGAAATTAATTAATTAAACAAACATTAAAGTTTATACCTTAGCGCCATAGGGCCATAGGGCCATAGCGCCTTAGTTCCTTAGTGGCAGGCAGCTCCCATAACCATCCCAATAGTGCACTCTGCACTAAAAATTAGGTCGTTTTGTTAAATGTCCGAGTTTTTAGCAAGCATCGCGTAACCACCAAAATTTAGGGTGTCAATTTCCGGTTTTGTGCGGTTTTTGACTTGCTTATAAAAGAATTCATCAAAAAATAAAGAAAGCGAATCTGGCGAAATAAAAGCCATTTTCATTCATTGCATATGTTGCTTGACTTGTGTAGAAAAAATGAGAGCAATCCATTTTCCGCCAAAATTTGAGTAGCCAGTTCTTACACGGACACGCTCTTAAAAGGTTTCCAGTGTATCAATGCTAATGAAACTTTGGAATAAAATTGTTAACATTATTAGGCATACATGGTTAATGTTTTAAAATAATCTATTAATTCGTTTTTATAGATTTTCAAAAAAGTGCTTAAAATCGAAAATTGCTCTAAATTTACTATGGAAGTGATGTTGACAAAAAAGTCTTGTTCTCAGGATCAAGAAAACACAAACCAACAAAACTTTCATGGCTTCAAGACAAAACTTCAAGACACATTTTGGTGTCTTTTGGAGCAATTTCATTAAAATAGTGTCCATCCTTCAGTCCATTTAATTTAATTAAACAAAAAGCATGGTTTGAAATGTGTTTGCAATTTATTCAAAATCCAACATACAGAATTTTTTTATTCTTGCATATTCCCCTTGCCATACATCATAATTTCAGAAATTGGCATCAGATTTTCTATAACAGATCTAGTTCGTACAAAATTCATATTTACCAATTTTTATATTTTTTGGTTTATCATTTCCATGGAAATATCAATTACCTTAAAAAACACATTCAACCAAACTTCAATCTTTTTCCAAAAACTGGTGTAATTTCCACAACGATGAGAGTAAGGGAAGATTGGTAAAGTCTCAGTTGAAAATGCTAGGTATGGTCCAGAAAAAACTATATCAAACCACCTTAAGGCCACATTCTTAACTTTGTAGGATAGGTTGTGATTTTCCATGCAAGTATTTTAAATTTGAATGGGGAGAACTTTGTATACAGAAAATCGAAAAGACTTCAAGTATATTAGCCATCATTTGCTTTTTATCGTACAAGGTATGGATGTAAAAGACAAGAAGCCACAGCAAAACACATCAGGGATAGGTATGTGGCAATTAACACCTTGTTTGATGCCTCGTGGTTTTGTAATGTTTAGTAACTGTGTCTAAGCCCAAGGTTAATTATTTGATTTCAAGACAATAAACCCATTTGTCCAGTCACTGATGGACCTTACAAATAGCTCTGTAGTATCAAAACAAGTTAGCCTGCGTAGCAAGTGTTTCTGTGGGGTTCAGAAGCAAAGAATTACAGCGTGAAAAATGGAGCGAGTAAAAGAGGGGGGAGGGGGAGGGGAAGAAAGGAAGGAAACGCTTACAGACAAACCCCTGGATTTTGAAAACCACCCACTTGGCCTTTCTGGAAATGCCAGATCCGCAAATCAGTTCGAGTGTTACTGCCTGTAACAAAAACAAACGACGGAAGGTCTTCTTGGAAAACTTTGGAATTTGGGCAAGAGAGGCTTCAAACATCTGAGAGGGAAAATGACGATAATCTTGACCAGTATCTGAATAAAGATAGTCTTCCCCTAGGCGGCCTCCAAGTCAAAGTTGTTTATAAAATCAACTCTGGAAATGTCCTTGTAAGGAACAGCTGCAAATTGTGTCACATTTGCTTCTGCAATAATGTGCAGGCTTTGAAATACCAAAGCATCGGCATTGCACTACAGGATTTCTACCATTCTGTTGAAGCTCATGACTAAATCCTTGTACTAAAAAATCCCATTCCTTGGTCTTTCTTTGCTTCCAAACCCCACAGAAATGCTTGCTACGCAGGCTAAAACAAGTCAAGGGTGTCTACCAATTATCTTCTGTTTTACCAGTACCTAAGTGGGGCACAGGTCTTCAGGAATGGATCTTTTTAGCCATACGGTGGCCATTTTGAATTCAATTGTTTGAAATAGCTATAATGGGATCCTCAGGGGGAAAATACATACTAATTTTCCCCTGAGAATCCAATAATATTCTATCGCTATTTGAAACAATAGAATTCAAAATGACCACCGTGTAGCAGAAAGGTCTATTCCTCACCACTCACTCTCCAGTGGATAGCCACTTGGCAGGCCTCCTCCCAACTCTTTCATCCCAGCTCTTGCTTCCTTTCCTTCTCAGCCACTCTATGCCATGCAAGTTGTTTTTGGTCTTCTAACCCTTCTTCTTCTCGGTGAAAGCCAAATCAATGCTCTCGTAGGATTGTCTCTGGACTGCATTCTCTACAATGCCATTGCCTCGTCTTCACTTTCTTGCTGACTGAGGTGACTCCAGACCTCTTGACTGGATAGTTCTTCATTTGAGATGTGCTGGGGCCACCTTGCTCCCAAGATCCATTTCGTACCAGGAACAAAGTAATAATTGATAAAACTTCGATTTCATGGTTTTCTCTAAATTATATATGACAGAGTTTTTTTTACTTGCTCAATGGAATCTTCTCGAGATTGTCATGTGGAAATAACAAAAATTGGAAATCATTTCTTCACTGCATTTTAGCCATCTCAAAACACAAAATCTCACTTCCCATTGGGTCAGACAGCAGAATTTCTCATTCATTCCAAATTTGCTTCCACAACCTCATAGCAAAACATCTTAGTTACTTTATAATCTAAACAATCCTAAACTCTTTTGTCATGTTCCTAAGGCATTTTGGAATGGCAAATAAAAGGGGAGACTTTTGATGCTGGCTTACTGCTTGTGACAAAATATAATTATTTTCCAATTTGGAAAAAAATTCTGGATTTGAATACAATTCTTGGATTTGCAAACTATTTTTGAATTTTTAGAAAGTTACAGTCAAACTTGTCTATAGCGGCCCTGTATTAAGTGGCCACCCTCTAAAAAAGCAGCCAGTTTTCAAAGTCCTGATTTTTCGCTCATACAAATGGTGTATTTGTTGCTTGTATCAGGCGGCCACCTCTATTTAGCAGCCGCGACCACCCTATAGCAGTCCTATGTTTGTCTTTCTTTGTTATTTATACTTATATTAAGTGGCCACCCTTGAACATAAACGGAGGCACATGTCATTTTGTGGGGTATTTTGTCATGTTTAAAATGCGATCCATCGTCACTATAAAGAACTAACATGTACAAAGCTACTGTAAGGTGATAATCGGCAGGTTAGTATCGTTAAAGCTTTACAGGTATCCGCAATGTGCTGAAGTACAGTACTATATCATTAGACCATGTCCAGTGAGTATTTTTAGAGATTCTGTATTAAGCGGCCAGTTCCTCAAGTGCTGAGGGTGGCCATTATATACAGGTTTGACTGTATTTGTGGATCCAATAATTTCATTAAGATTTGCAATAGTCTTTACCAGCCCTCCAACAACGATTTGCAAAAAAAAAAATGTGATTTAAAAGATTTTTTCCGTTCTGAGAAAATAATATTTTGGAATTGTCCTCTAATTGTTCCATACGCCTGTACGCCTGACTAGTCTCAAATCCCAACCCTTCCACAATTTAAATCAAGCAAGCAAGGAAGATTCTGCAGTGAAAAGCACATGGTATTACCGTTGGAACTCCCCATTATCCCACTCCCTCCCTCCCCCCTACATATCAGATAGAGTGTTGGCCAGTATAAGCTTGATTTTAACTTAGCCCAAAAATTCCAAAATACCAAAGTATGAGAGAATAAACAGTTATCTATGCCTACAGTATCTTACACAATGATGGACAATTATCACAGCTTTTATGACGTTGAATTACACTTAAGCTTAGCACCAGGCAATGGAACGTGTACATCTTATTTTTTGTTTGGTTTTGGTTCAGTTGAAAGGGTCACATACAGAAAGCTTAAGAGGAAAGCAATTATATTGGAATACCTACAAAAGGTGAAAGTGGTTGAAGGAACTAATCCTATTCAAAAGGTACCCCTCTTTATTGTTCTGTGCTATGTTTGGTTTGCAATTGTCCTTGCATGTTGAGCTTATACCTATATTTCTGCCTGATGTACTTTCACACTTACTGAACTACATATAGGGGTTGGACATATTAAAAACAATACAAAAAGATCACACCAAGGCCTTACTTTGAAGTTTATGTTTACTTAATACATTAATTTTCGAGGCTGTGAGGTTGCTTTACCACAATCATTATTCCATGGCAACTGCATGGCAGTTTAAGGATAAATTTGTAATTTTAATTTCAAATCAATCGGGAAACAGTGAACAAAGAGCTTCTTTGTGGTATGTACCACTGCAAAATCCTGTTCATTTTGTATGTAGTCCAGTTTTGAGGAAGCCAATAATGATGAATAAAGACCAAAGACACATCTGTACTGTGTCAGTCTCAGTCTGAAATCAACTAATTATTCACAAGTTATAGTGAGAACATCAACTATATACCACTGTTTGATCAAATGCTTCAGACCTCTTGCAGGTATTTGTGAATATTTTAGTTCAGATTGAGACTAACACTGATTGACTGATTGATTGATTGATTGATTGATTGATTTGGGAAGAAAATCCAGTTATGTACCCATTTTATGATGAACTGCATTGTGAAAAATACTAGAACTATCAAAGAATTGTTTGATTTCAAAGTGCATAATTGAGCTACTGTATCTACAGGTTGTGATATCAAGTGAGGAAGAAGAAGGACATCAGGGACGAATTGATCGAAAGGTGCTATTCAGGTACAAACTAAGCAGCATTGATGCACATTAATTTTTGTAAATGTCTTTCTGTGGAAATTTAAAGACATTCACTTAAATGCATTACCTCACTGTTAAGAATTCTTTTCTCGCTATTATTTTAAATGCATTGAATTCTAAGCTAATTGAAATAAAGCCAAACCTCCCATAAGCAACCACCCAAAATGTCAAGCCTAGGTGATCACTTATGAGAGCTTAGACCATATTGAATCCAAATCATGCTTCATTAGCATAATAATTTTATGGTGACTGCAGAGACCTACCCCATGTTTTAAATAATTCATGTGTTTTATTTCATTTCACATTAAATTGTGGCTCTTGTACTACCCAGGAGTGAGATAATGTTACAACAACTTTGCTTTCCTTGTTATCCAATTTCCACTCTATTATCTGTCAAGTGGTTGCTTACCAGAAATTAAAAACAAAAGAAAATTTCAAACTTTTAGTACTAAAAGTGGTCATGATCGCTTAGGAGAGGTGGTCACTTACAAGAGGTTCCAAATATAGTGATTTGACTGTGAAACGTTTGGGATTTTGGAAAACTGGTCACTGAGGAGAGGTGGTCGCTTACCAGGGGTGGTCGAAATTGGAGATTCAGCTGTAGCAATACACTGCAAGCAAAGTATTTTTATGCAAGTCATTTAAGTATCTCATTGTAGGTAGTGTAAGTATCCAGTATATGTTAAATAACATTTAGTAATTGTATTGCAAATAGTTCTTTTCTGTGAATGAATTAAATAGAACGAAACCAATCTATCAAAATGTATAATATACCCATAAATTTTTGTTATATATTATACCAAATTGTTTTTGCCTTTTGACAAATTGTGCGCCTCAAAACACCTGTAAAAGGTTGGTCTATCCCTATTGATATTCTCATTGTTGGCATTCTCAGTTTGGAGAGCTGCAAAGGAGTTTGCGAAGCATCTTGACAAGGAAATATACATGCATAACTTATGCACTGGGAAGCAGAATTTCCCAAAATGTAAATGGAGGGAATGGCTATCTGATCAAGGGATGGTTTTACCAACAATCTGCTTCAAGTTGTTAAGAGTGCCTGCCTGTAAAAATCAGACAAATTCTTAATTTCGCAGCAAGGGTCAAAAATTCGATTTCCCTCATGTTCTTATGGTACATAGGTCAAGTCATGTGGCGCATGCTAAAATGTACGTCCAACCCGTAAATTGAAATTTGACCATGGATGGTCAAATATTTGCATTTTTAACGTACTTTGAAAAGCTCTCGCATCGCTCACAATCATTTGCTCAAAGAAATTTTTACAGGAATCTGTAGACCATCCTTCTGTGACTCAACCACCAGAAGCTTAATCCATTTGAAGGTTTCGCACATGGTGAAAATTAATTATATTCACGAAGTACTTTTACGTGAATAAAATACATGTCTTCGAAATTTAATTATTTTGCACCCAAAGAGACAACGCAACATTCCCTAAAATCAACCCAGTACACATTTTAAACATTGTACAAAAATATTTGAGTGGTTTAAAGATGGAAGAATGATGTGGTTTTGCATGCGAGGCTCTCAAACTTGTTTAATAAAATGGTGCGTCAAATGATGATTTTAACAGAATTTGGTAATT